ATTTGGTAATTCATTCATTGCACTTTTAGAAGCTGGAATTGTCTAGTTTGGCAAAATTCATTTTCCATATTTTAATAGCTGCTAAGAATAGTGTACTTTAGACAAATTTAGGTTGATTTTTGGAGCACAAGGGAGCAGTCATTTTAGTTAGCAGTGTTTTAAGATCATTTAAAATTTCCAAAAGTACAATATCCAAAGAAATTTCAACCACATTACATGAAAGTAGTATATAGGTATGCCAACATTCTCTCCACTATGCATGTTTAAAATGCAAACAACTTCACCTTACATACATCACTCTCTCAAAAGTACATAATAACTGGTAAGCACCACCTTAGGGAAAACCCCTTATTAGATCCTATATTCTCTGATGTGGATGACCATTATATCAGATCATGTGAATGCTGTCTAAGATCTAGTCATAATGTGCTATTTAAAGTAACTGGGTCACTTTCTCTACTCTTCAAAATTGATATTTGCGGATTTCGTTCAGTACTTTCTAGAATTTGCATGATTAGAATCACTACTATGAAATCTTCAGTAACTTTGGTAAAGGCACTGATATTGAAGTAGGCAGCAATTATTTTGTATAAATGATCAAATTCAGATGATTTAAAACTTGTAAATTTAGAGTATGAGAATTAGCAGCTATGGTTGGTCACAAGGTTTCACTAGGTTGATTGTGAATTAGTTCTCAATATTTTAAAGTACATAAAAAAATTCTTAAGTGACAAAAAATTATACAGCTATAACAATTTGGATTTTACATTTACATCTTTCTATACATAGCAGAAGTGTACCAAAAATGCAAAATAGTTAAAATTGATGTTAAATGTAATAGATACAACAATGCTTAATGGTTAACACAGGCGAGCCTTTGTGTATGGAGTCAGATAGGTAACAGGTGTTGTATTTAACAGAAATTTTATGGTGTTTTGTTTACCCTAAGTACAAATGATGTTGATCTGACATCAAATATGACTGCCATGGTAGCCGTCTTAAAAATCTTGTTTTTGTGACTCATTCAAAATTGGATGGTCATTTCAGCATGGGAATTTTACCAAAAGCCTTCTTATAATGTCTAGTTCATCTTAAATGAGAAGGATGTTTATTTTACACCCAGTATGGCTTCCATGGTGGCCATCTTGAAAATTTTGTTATCGCTTGAAAATGTTGGCGATTGTTTCACCACTCAGGAGTCAACAAAGAAAACATGGCTTTGTCTCGGATTCCTGGAAAATCTTTTTGGCCAGTATTGTGGGTCCCTGATGTACTGTTTTGTTTCTATCAGTTTTGCTTAGATTTATTTGTTAAGCTGTGTTTCTTCCTACACAGATCACTTTTTTTGGGTCAAAGTCATGAGCCTCCTGGCCCTACTTTTGGACAAATATGAAACTTGGATGTTTTCTGAGCCACTTAAATTTACCACTTTTTCATTTAAGTGTAAGTTCATAAGGTGGGGTATTTGATTTTTTTTTTTTGAAAACAAATTCCATGTAGTACACCTATAAACATAAATCACAAGATAATCTCTAAATAAATAGAGCAGAAAACTCTTGTCATTTTGAGACTGATACCAAGTCAATAAAAGCAAATATTATGTCTAAATAAAAATATTTTACCTTCATACTGATTTGTGGATGTTAATTTTGTGCTTCATCTTACATGTAACATTCAAATGTTGTGCAATCAAGATTAGATGATTTGTATTTTATGTTTTAGAGATCGAATATAGGTTGACATGATTGTAATCCATGAAAGAATTATATTAGAGAGAGAGAGAAAGAATGAGAAGAAACATTTCTTTGTATAGGGTTTCTAAGAGTGCTTGATTGTTGGTTCAAGCAAGGGACCAATCATGTAAATTTATGTTATCTAAGTAAGTGTTGATGAAAATTTGTGTCAAAAATACAAATAAAGATGTTTGATGATCTGCAATGTATTTTTGATTCTGGTTGATGATCATTTTTGTTTCGTTTCCACAACTAAGTGAAAGAATTGACTATTTCTTAAAATTTAAAATAATTTTCAGTGACCTGAAATATTATTGCTTCATTGACTGGTTACTTGTCAGCATTGTCCCTTGCAAGAAATGGCAAGGAAATTCAGTCTTCCTTACAGCATTGTCCCTTGCAAGAAATGGCAAGGAAATTCAGTCTTCCTTACAGCATTGTCCCTTGCAAGAAATGGCAAGGAAATTCAGTCTTCCTTACAGCATTGTCCCTTGCAAGAAATGGCATGAAAATTCAGTCTTCCTTACAGCATTGTCCCTTGCAAGAAATGGTAAGGAAATTTAGTCTTCCTTACAGCACTGTCTCTTGTAAGAAATGGCCTGGAAATAGTCTTCTTTTGACTTGTAAGAAATATGGAAATACAATCTTCATTACAGTATTGTTGCTTGTAAGAAATGACATGGAAATTCAGTCTTCTTTACAGTCACACTGTTGCCCTGATAATAAAACTGACCATTTGCAAGTTCAACACAAAAGTTTAAATTATTTTTCTATAAATAAATCAAAATTTATCAACTATATCCATCAAAGCAATATTAAAAAACCCAGAATATTAACTTCAGTGTTTGAAAGTCTTGGCTAGTCAGTCATTGATTTTATTGCACATCTTGTATTTTCGTATTTTAATAGTACATAAAAAAATGTTTAATAATTTTCAACAGTACATACAATTTTAGGACACTAAGTTTGTTTGGGTTTTTTTAATATTTTTTTAAGAAATTTTTTGCTGATGAAAAAGTAAAATAAAGGCTGGAATATAAACTAAGCTATGTTTTACCCATACTCAGAACAGGTGATTGTTTAAGCAGGTGACTGTCAGACCTTTAAGCTGCTTTGATTAACCTAATCATAGCCAACTTCTAGCAGCTCTCCCAGCTTTTTTTTTCATTTTGCTGGTGGAGAGGGCTTGAGACAGGTTATGTAACAAGAAATTTTTTTCACAGATTTCCATTGTACTCTGTCACCTTATATAAACAAATTGTAGTCTAGAACTGGTCTGCAGAGAAAACAATGACCTTTCAATATGTTCCGTGTTAAAAATCGAACTATACTTTATTTCCCATGTACACAAAATAAAATTTTCAGGACTGAAGCAGAATGGTCCAGGGTGCTCACCTTTGTAGATCTCTGACATCTCACCTCGTGTCAGCTTTGGTTCAAGTCTTGGGTATGGTCATCATGTGTATATGAGATAGCTTGCTGCCAGTAGCTTCCCATGAGTTGATTCTTCCTGGGGAATTCATGAGTTATTCCTCCACCAGATATTCTGGCTGACATGTATAGCCTATGATGTGATGAAAAATGGCATTAAACTCATACCAACCAACCATCCAACCATTAGTATATCAATTTTTACCAAATTGGTAATTCTGTTAGAAATGCATGTCTGACATAAGTAGTCCTTGATGTACACAACATTTCAAAGGCAGTACATTGTGACAAACAAAAGGTAAAACAACCACCAGTATTAATTATTAGTAAAAGAAAATACAAGAACATTTTCATGCAAGTGTTCTCGATTTACAAAGATATAATGCAACCTAGTGTACCAGTCCTGCTTCGGACTGGCAGTGAATCTGTCAGATGCATCAGACACACATAGGTATTGATTTTCCAGACATCTGACAAAATAAAAAAAATCTGCAACAAGATACGGCACTTCTTCCAACTGAAACTGGTCTTTCAGGACAGTTGGTCTCTCGTAAAAGGCTTAAAGAATCAGTTTCCATGGTCAAAAATTCAAATTTTTTTAAGAACTACCTACAATCACTATGTATTGTATTTTTTATTTGATTCTTGATAAAATGTTGCATGCATTCTTCTGAAAATACTTTTAGATATAAATCTTTTAAAAAACATATATAAAGATCAAGTGTACATGTATTAGCTTACAAGTGCACAATTAACTAAGGTAATATCTATTTATCTTGTCTATTAGTTAATTTCACTTCTTTCAGTTACATCAATTCTTTCCTTCATTGTTAAAAATTTTACATTTGTTATCAAGGTGCAGATAATAACTGTGTTTAGTTGTAATAACAACTAACAGTTTTTATCGGGGTATATATGTTTTTACCTTCACTTGCACTACTTTAAAAGCCTGGCCTTATTTCCAAGTTCTGCTCTTTGTGGAATTAGATATCCTAGAGTGGCCTAGTGGTTAGAGTGTCCACCTTAGACATGGAAGGTTTCAGGTTTTAACCCCAGCCAAGTTATACCAAAGATTTATAAAAATGGTTCTAAGAGCTGCCTCGCTTGCATACTCAGCATGATGTTAATATTAGGGCTGGTCAACCTGCTGTCAGGATAATGTGACCGGATGGGACATTGTGCTACATGTCTGTGGCATGATGCCTCAGTGCTAAACATCACTATAAACTGCCACACTGCAGACATCATAGTGAAGTGACTGAAGAATTGTTAAAGCTACATTACAAATCCAAATCTTACACACATACACTTAGAGGTAACCTAGAAGGGGTTTTAGCTGATATGTATTATACTGATTTGTATTATACTGCTGCCATAAAAGCAGGCTAGTGTGATCAATATTTCGTGAATCAGTGGCTCCTTAGTTACGATTACCCAAGATGCCATATTCTGTTTTCAGATATGTATATTCATTTTCATAAAGCATTTAAGATGAAGTTAAAACACAGACTATATAAGTTTATGTACTGCTGTGAAATATTTATGGAATTTATATATTGTCTTATTGATTGGTATTTAAAAGCACTCATAAAGGGGGGGGTGTGATTTGATTTTTAACGTAGCTTTAACAATTTTTTTTCAGTCATATCACTACAGTGTCTGCTGTGTGGCAGTTTATAGTGATGTCTTGCACTGGGGCATCATGCCGCAGACATTAACATGATGTCCCACCCAAATTATCCTGACACCAAGCAAGACCAGTCCTAACACTAACTTCTTAATGCTAAGCGCCAAGCGAAGCAGCTTTTAGTACCATTTTTTTATAAGTCTTTGGTATGACTCTGCCAAGGATCAAACCCACAACCTCCTGCATCTAAAGCAGACACTCAAACCACTAGGCCACCAGAGCAGTCACACAGGAAGGGACCACAAGTATTTAGTGTCAATGTAGTAGCAGTAACGAGAGACAGCACAGCAACCAATTTCAGTTATGAGAACAAAATTGTCAATGAGTTGAGCATCTGTCCCCTAATAAACTTAAAGTAGTCTTATTTTGTAGTCTTAGCTAGTTTTCACATCTTTATGTATTGGTTGGTATACATGATGAGGAGGTGTATCACAAACAGTATCACATGTATACTTCCTACGAAAGTTTACGTGTCCTATATCTCTAGTTCCTTTGGCTTTGGTTCGAGTTTTCTTGAAGTTCACATTTGCTCTATAGGTGTGTTGGGTTTTTTTTATTCCCTATAGGAATATTTTTGTACACTGCATTATGAGTATTGGCTATGGACCCAAGGATTCATCTCCAGAGACAGAAATCCTGACTGCTGCAAAATGGTCTAGCAACTGTAAAGGTGACTCGAGAAAGATGTGACTCATCTGACAGTTTGTGGGGCTTTTTTTATCATAATTTATCAGTATGGCAACAAAGTAACAGTAATGTATGTGTATGTAGGCTGAGGCAGCTTGATTGTGTCAGTTTATTGACGTGAATTACATTATTTCACAGCAGTAATACACCAGAACAAGGTGTTACGGCACCACCAAGGATGTGGTCATAGGCATCAGCTCCACCTGATTATTACCAGCAGATGTGACTTAGTACTTAGATACGCTGCTTATCGCAGTGCATATTATAACACCAGCATTTCACTGAGCATGAGAGTAAGAGTGCAACCCTGAGAGCTATATCTATGAATCCAGACATGAAAACTTGCCATGCATCAACCCAAGTAGCATATAAGAAGAACATGAAATGCCTATAGCTATCAGAAGCCTTTAAACAGGTGAAGGCCTAAAATGGAAAGCAGAAGTTTAGTGGTCCCTAAGTTCAGTTATCTACAAATTGGCTATTAACAACTTTTAGTAAAAACAAGACCACAGACAATATGATGCAAAGAATGCTGCCTACCTAAACTAAAGCCTAAATCCAACACCAGAAACACTTCATGCTTTCGAGTCAGCGTAGAGTGCAGTACAGAAGATAGCCAGACAGTGCTGTGCTGATCTATGCCAGGAAATAAGATTCAGAAAAAAAAATCCATGCCATTTATGATTGGATGAAGAAAGCCATTGGCCTCACCAGAGCTGCTCAATTGGAGGCACTGAATGGTGAGGTAATCACCAACTGGAGCAAGAAGCAGATGTCGCACTGGGTGGAACAGTACCTTCATCTATACTGATAGGACATGTCCCAGCCAGCTCTTGATACACTGCCAAAGTGACCTGTTATGAAAGAGTTTATGAAGGTACCAAGAGTGCTTGAGCTCAACCTGGTCATGTTGTTGTATTGGGTTTAACACCATTTCTCAGTGCATGATAGTCTCTACTATAAAAGGCAGCCAGAGTAACTGGTGGAAAAAGAACCCGGGAAAATCTTGATTAGAACCACTAACCCGCATGATGCTTCTGATACCTTTCTCAGATACTCAAATTGGCTGAGCCTGAGACTTGAGCCATCGTAACAGAGGTGGGACGGCAGTGATTAATAAAAGCAGTGCTGTAGAACTCTTTGACGACAGGGAGCCCCCATCATAGTTACATATTCCTTGACAAATAAAAAGGCACTTGGATAGGAAAGAATTCTAGCTAACTGCTGAAGTGTGGAAAGTCCAGAACGCCACAACATTCTATGACCTCCTCTGTTCGAAGGACGGAGGAACTCGTACTCCACCACATTCTATGACCTCCTCTGTTCGAAGGAAGGAGGAACTCTTACTTCATTAGCACAAATTTTGTGATGCTAGTTTTAGAAAAACCATTAAGGGCTGCAATGATCCGCTCTACATATTTATCAAATGCAATATTGAAATAACAATTCAAACGATGCTAACATTGTACATGTATCATGAAATTGAATTGATATTACTGTGGAGATAATAATAAAATCAATGAATACAAAGAAATTACTTCTAAATGTTAAATCTGTGCAAATGTGCTCAATGTTCTCTCATAAGAAAAGTAAATTTCAAACAAAGTATTTTCATGCTGAATTTTGAAATTACGAAAACTACTATAATAAATGGTGACAAATAGACACAAAGATAACAAAATCTAAAACAAGGAGATTACGGCCTCCTATAATTGATATTCCTTTGAGAAAAGATGAAAGTAAAAAACTAATCAATCTATCAATAAAATTATTACAAGACTGCTTAGAAACTCATTAAAGAGACTTTTAAACGAATATAGATTTGAATCGAAGAGGTTTGTTTTTAATGAAATTTGATCAATTAATGACGATGAATTTGAATCATACTTATGGAAAATAACAAAAGAATTTTTTTCACAGCTTTGGGCTCAGTCTTAAAAGATCCAGCTATATTTATCTACTAAACTCGTTGTAACAAAAAAGACATTTTTTGTGTTGCATAGACTGGTATCGTGGAACATTATCTATAAATGTAATGAAAAAAAAAATGAAATAACTTCAAAATGTTGTTTATCCACGAGATATAAAAATTTAGTAAGGAAGTTGGTCGGGGTACACAATGTTTTTATCTTTTAAAACTTATTTATTATTTAATTCTGCACAATGACAAATTTAGAGAAGTAATTGAAAATGCATACGTTGAATTTACCAGAGTTGATTTTTAAAAAATATCAGTATCCTGTCTTAATATACATAAAGGGTCATGGTTATTGGGAATTAATAACGGAAATGGCTACATTTTTTGAGACGGGATAGGTTTTTATGATAAAATTTGCATGATAAGATTGTATTTTAGAATTCAGGATCGGCTATACGAGATAATGCCGTTTTTAAAATACTATCAATGTGACAAGTCTATTTGGTATTTAATGAAAGTAACAATCCTAGATAGCGATGAGAATCCAAATTTAAGTTCAATATTATCAAAAAAGTTTAAAGATTATAAGAGCCATTTTTTTGTAACCATTGATGCAATTTTAGTAGATTATTATTCATGATCAGCTCATTTTCAGCACAATAAGGGAATGAATAATGCAGTTATTTGGAAAAAGACTATTGAGAGTTAATATTGTTTACATAAATTATAAACAAAAGCTGCCAAAGCATGGATCCTTGTGGCACACCATTTTTTATAATTCCTGTGCATACATGTCGTGCAAAAGAACCGTTTGTTTTATATTACTTAAATAACTATAAAACCATTTTATCAGATTACCTGAAACAGTGTTCGTTCAATTTAAATAAACCTCTGTGCCAGACTCGATAAAGATCTTGATAAATCACACAATACAAGAATTGTTCTAATAAACTGTATATGCTATAATTCATTTCAATAAGTTGAAGACCGCTCCTGTGACCTTGTGGTTATACCGTCTGCCTCGGATGGGAGGTCGCGGGTTCAAACTCTTGACAGAATAATACCAAAAAACTTACAAAAATGGTACCAATAGCTGCCTCTCTAGGCGCTCAGCATTAAGAGCCGAGGGGTTGACCATAAAGGACGTCCGGACATAATACCTGTTTTCCTACACACACACCTTGTCCGTTTGTGGCTAATCCCGCCCCCCGGCTTCAGACATCCCCATCTAGCAGAGCTGATATGTGGGGGCATGTAATCAACCTCAGGCACTGTGAGCCATACCTATTTATTAATGCCAACCCATTCATATATATATATATTTTGTGGCACGAATCGTACAAATGGAAATTACCAATAATGTATGCTGAGGGATATGACGTCCTAAAAGCATACTGGAATACACGCAGTAGGCACGTGATTATGTAATTTGATTATGATTTTTAACGTAGCTTTAACAATTTTTCAGTCATGTCGCTACGTTGTCTGCAGTGTGGCAGTTTATAGCGATGTCTAGCACTGGGGCATCATACCGCAGACATGTAGCATGATGTCCCACCCAGTCACATTATCCTGATACCAGGCCGGCCAGTCCTAACACTAACCTCTTAATGCTGAGCGCCAAGCGAGGCAGCTGTTAGTACCATTTTTGTAAATCTTTGGTATGATTCGACCGGGGATAGAACCCACGACCTCCCGCATTCGAGGCGGACGCTCTACCCACTTGGCCACCAGAGCGGTTGCAGTAGGCATAAAGCAGATGTTCAACAGAATATTATATCAAAAATACTAGCATGCGGACGTCCTTTACACCCCCATCCCCTTGTCCGCATTTGCCCACATTTGAACAACCCACCCCCATTTCCATCTTTACGTACGTCCTTTATGGATGATCCCTTAGTGTTAGGACTGGTCGGCCTGGAGTCCGGATAATGTGACTGGGTGGGAAATCATGCTACATGTATTTTATAATACTAGGGTTTTGCAGTTTCTTGTAAAGCATAATCTTTATTAAAATAGTTAACAATTGTAGTATAGAAATAATATTAATCTCAATATATTTTAGAGGAAAATTACTTTGAATATAATTAATAAAAAAGTACAATTTAGAGAAAATTTCAATCTTAATAATTGTACTAAAACATTATCTCCTAATATAAACATTGTAACAACGGTTTTGCAAATGTAAAAAAATGACTTGTAATATGAAAAAGAAATGAAAAGGCCAGTAATTATATAGCCGAATTCCCAAACAATTTTAATGGTGGGACCATGTGCCAAAATTGTTGTCCAAAACTTTAAATAAGCACTGAAAGAATATAAAAACGGAATCGAAGGAGATGTAATATTTAAAAAGATGATAAACTTTTTCGTGAAAATTAAAAAAAAATAGATTTAACAGTATCAATACACTTGTACGATTAGTTGAAATGACTCCCTTCAGCACCAGAAGAAAGAAAAACAACTAATTCCTAAGAACTTTGATTTACCCTCCTCCTAAAACATCAAACTAGCAAGCAAAAACAAAAAAAAAAAACACAACACAAAAACAATAGAGAACCAATAATGATGAAACATCTCTTTAATCTGATGAATACTGATGTTTTTGGAAAAATGAGAAT